ATCCGGACGGCCAGTTCCCTATCCGGACGGCCAGTTCCCTATCCGGAACCGGACAGCCAGTTCCGTATCGGGACGGCCAGTTTTGTAACCAGACAGCCAAGTTTCCCTGAATCCCATGCCTCCTTACTTTCTGAATGAGCCTACCATGTGGAACCTTATCAAATGCCTTGCTAAAATCCATATATACCACATCCACTGCTCTACCTTCATCGATGTGTTTTGTTACATCCTCAAAGAATTCAATAAGGCTTGTGAGGCATGACCTGCCCCTCACAAAGCCAGGCTGACTATTTCTAATCAAACTATGCTTTTCCAAATAATCATAAATACTGTGTCTCAGAATCCTCTCCAATAAATTTCCTATCACAGAAATAAGACTAACTGGTCTGTAATTCCCAGGATTATCCCTATTCCCTTTCTTGAACAAGGAAGTAACATCTGCCACCCTCCAGTAATCTGGTACGACTCCAGTGGAGAGTGAGGACGCAAAGATCGCCAAAGGCGCAGCAGTCTCTTCCCTCACTTCCCACAGCAACCGTGGGCATATCCCGTCTGGCCCAGGGGACTTGTCTATCCTCATATTTTTCAAAATTTCTACCACATCCTCCTTCCTAACATCAACCTGTTCAAGCATATCAGCCTGTTTCACAGTATCCTCGGAAACTACAAGGTCCCTCTCACTGGTGAATACTGAAGCAAAGTATGGACCTCCCCTACCTCCTCCGAATCCAGGCACAGATTACCTCCACTATCCCTGACCGGCCCGACCTTCACTCTGACCATCCTCTTGTTCCTCACATAAGTATAGAACGCCTTGGGGATTTCCTTAATCCTACCCACTTAAGGCTTTTTCATGCCCCCTTCTAGCTCTTCTAAGTCCATTCTTCAGTTCTCTTATACCGACTTTGTAACCCTCTCGAGCCCTGTCTATATATATAAAGTCACACCTGCTCCAGAATCGAACATAGAACATAGAACAGTACAGCACAGTACAGGCCCTTCGGCCCGCGATGTTGTGCCGAAATTTTACTCTAATCCTAAGGTCTATCTAACCTCCACCCCTACCTTATACTATCATCCATATGCCTATCTAATAGCTGCTTAAATGCCCCTAATGAGGCCGACTCCACTACCCTCTCCGGCAATGCATTCCACGCCCCTACCACTCTCTGAGTAAAGAACCTACCTCTGACATCTCCCTATATCTACCTCCACTCACTTTAAAACTATTCCCCCTCGTAATTGCTACCTTCACCATAGGAAAAAGTCTCTGGCTGTCTACTCTATCGATACCTTTGCTCATTTTGTACACCTCTATCAAGTCACCTGTCATCCTTCGTCGTTCGAAAGAGAAAAGCCCTAGCTTTCTCAACCTTTCCTGGTAAGACCTTCCCTCC